GAGGAGCTGTGGGCATGGGCAGCCCCTGGCACAGATGGGGCTGGTTCAGCTGCGCAGATGCAGCTCCTGCTCTCCAAGCAAGTGGGCTGAAAGCAGCCATAAACCAGCACTCACCATAGTCCAGCGAAATTCGCTTTCATCAGAAAATAGGAAATATGTTAAAGCTCACTGTGTGCAAAGAGCTGGGTTTTGGTGGAATGTTCCAGTGGGAAATGTGAGGAGATGTTTCAGTGCCTGGGGCATGCTGGGTTTGGGCTGTACCTGGCTGAGCCCACCTGGGCTGGGGCAGGTTTGGGCAGAGCTGTGCTTGAGGCTGGGGCAATTTTGGGCTTTGGGCTGTGCCCACGGCTGGGCAGTTTTTGACAGGGCTGTGCCCAGGGCTGGGGCAGTTTTTGACAGGGCTGGGGCAGGTTGGGCACAGCTGTGCCAGTTTTGGGCTTTGGGCTGTGCCCAGGGCTGGGGCTGACTCCCAGCACAGGAGGCAGGAGCTGAGCAGGGCTCCCACAAAGGCAAACAATACCTCAGCTGCAGACAGGGATTAATGTCACAGCAAGATCTTATTAAAGACAAGGCTTCTCATTTAAATTTCTCCGGGTGTTTGCTCATTTCTTTCTTTGCTTCCCCTCCTTCCCATGGAGCGACCCACAGTAATGAAAAATGTCAGAACTTGGGGGAACTGGAGTTGTGACTGCTTGGATGGGGCTCCTGTTCAAAGCTTTACTGTTCATGCCTTTCTTATCCTAAGGTTTTCAAATAGAAATATACACACACCTTAACAACAAAAGGCTGTGATGACTGCATTGTCACCAGATAAAACTGCACTAAAAATAAATAAATGCTGCATTTAGCATGATTCAGTAGGCAGGGTCCTTATTATTCTTCCACCATTCAAAGGCAGATTCAGCTCCAGCACAGAGCACTCCATCTCTGTGGCATCCCTCACTGGGGCTCCTTTCAGAGCTTTTTCTGCTCACGGATGCAGAGGGTTCAGGGTAGCCACGGGTGAGTGTTGTGGTCACTGATGCATGTTTTTAAGTGGCAGGACACAGGGAAGAATCTTGGTTTAAGTGTAATAAAAGTGAGGTCCCAATTTGTTAATGAGGAGCATTGTCTGCTGCAGACACTAATTTCACTACAGGGTGCAGTCTCCAAACTTTTCATTCTAATTAGAATGCATTTCCATATTCTTTATCAATTTCTCCCCTTATTGAAATCTTCTCAAATGACCTTTTTTTCTTCACTTATGACTCATCCCAAGATTTTTATTTTTCCCAAAACAATCATTCAGATGCAACTGCATTTTTCCAGTAAACACGCTGAAAAACAAATGACCTTGCCAGCTCATGCCTACACAGTGGGAGAAGGGCATTAGCAGTGCAGAGGCTGCTAGTAATAATGCACGGGAAAATTAAGTATGGGAGAAGACCTTCTTCTTCTAATTCCTCCAGCATTTAATTTCCAAATGCCCTGCAGTAGAATGTGTCTGGAGCAGGAGCTTAATGGCCACCAAAGAGCTCCAGCAGTGGGAAAACAAGTCCTGACAGAACAAGGGGCGTTTTATGCACATAGGAAAATAGGTTATCTGCTAAGGAGGCTGTTTTTTATTATTATTTATTTCCTTCAGCCCTCCACAGCTGTGTCCGGTTCCAATTTTTCTAACAAAGTAAATTATTAACTCAAGCTGACGAATTGGTTGGTGTTGGTAATAGGCTTTCAAAATGATTAGTGATATATACTCATTACCCAAATTAAAAAGCCATATTAAAAATAAGGAGAGGAAATGTAGCAGCATTATCAAAGTAATAATTTCTATTTAGTGCATATCTTTCCTGAACTTTGGCAAATGTTGAATTATGCAAGACAAACACTAATCTGAAAGCATTCTAATTAATGATGGTATTTCTTTGCTATCAAATTAAACCCAACGCATTCACAGTGCATCTGACTTAAATGTTATCACAAATTCTCCACACTTTGAGGAAGATTGTTGATGTGTTTGAAAATATTACACCTATACACAAGTTACCAGGCTTGAGCCATGGTTCCTCCCTTGCCTGAGGATAATTATTAATGGCAAAGACCTGTATAACTCAAAGTTCACCCCAAGGAAATAATAATGGTAATAATGCTAATAACGATAATAATGGTTATATACTAATAATAATGGTAGTAATTATGATAATGAATTATAATAAAAGTAATTTTATAAATTATTGGTTTTATTTATTATTATTATTAATAATAAATCTGCAGGGATGAGTATCTTGGCATCAATTAATCACAGTGTTTGTAATCCAGGGTTTGCCATACTTTTCACTGATTAACAGTATCAAACACTTATTTTCCCTTTAAAGATGCTCTATAGATGAAAACATATTTACAAAACTTCTTCCAGAATAAAAACAATAATCATGCAGGTAATCAAGTACAATGTAACTGCTGAGCTTTTGAGTTAAAGACCTGTCCAGGCTGCAGCATCATTTTTGCTTTGTTATTGTACGCAGAAAGCTAATAAAAAAATAATTTTGAAAAAAAAAATTACATTAGTGATTTGCCAGAGCGAATGTAGATGTCAAAAATGCTAATGCAGAGAAGCTGTCAGGAGTTTAAATAGATTTTTCACTGACTTGCCGTTCTTAATTATAGCTCAGCACCCTGTACAGGTTAAAAAATGCTGGGTTCCTTCGAAACAAACTACGAGCTCCTTGCCATCTCATCAAATTCTCCTTCTCTTTCTTTCAAATGGATCAATCAGATGCCAACACATAACATTTTTCACTTACATCTTTTCTTAAGCTTCCTTATCCGCTGCAATTATATTTTTACCCAAACCTATCCTGAAGGGGATAGAAGAGATTTCATGGAAGAAGCATAATTGGCAATTGAGTTGCTCTTTTCGTGGGCTCCTTTTATGAGAAAAGATAACGTTCTGTGTGGTGGAAATTCAGCACTTAAATTAGGGGGTATGCTGGCTACTTAGTTAAATAATCTAGAATAATCAGGTCAGGAGGGAATAGCACATGGCTTTGGCTGAATGTTTTGTGTTAATTTTTCAGATAATGTAATTCCACGCACTACCCGGGGCTCAGGGGCGCATCAGCAAAGCGCCTGCGAGCACGGGATTGACAGGCTGCTGCTCCAATCCTCTGACAGGCACAGGGAGCCATGGAAAAGGGATCCTTTGTTCTTTGGGGGCTGTTGAGTTCCATCAGTGCCATCCTCGGAGCCCTGGGCACCGTGTTAATGCTAATGCTGTTAGGGAGATGGAGAGCCGCCAGGAGGGAGCAGTAATCAGCTCACAGAATCACTGCACATATTCATGGAGCTTGTTGTGGGGTGAGATCCCAGAGCCCTGAGCCTTCCTGAGGAGAACAGGAAAATCCAGCTAACATCTCCCTGTCACCCTCCTGGGCTGCTTTCACTGCAGACGACCTTGGGCAGCTGTGCTGCAGTTCTGCCAGACTCCAATGATGTCTTTAGTTCACCGTGTGTTGGGTTTTGCCCAAACAGAAGGCCTGGCTCTGAGCACACCTCTCACCATGGGGAGGAGTTGCTGACAGAAGTTCCCTCAGCAGCCTTGGCATGCTCTGAGCTGAGCTGTGGCACAGATGGATTTCAGGACTCGCTCGTCCTTGGGGATGTCCAACACAACTGGTGAGAAATCTCCTTTCCTCTCCCTCTCCTGCCAAAGCCCCAGCTCTTGGACCACAGGATGGTTTAGGATGGAAGGGACCTCAAAGATCACCTTGTGGGCAGGGATGTAACCTGAGGTGGCTTTCCTGGGAAAGGTGGGTGGTGAGCCCTGGCCTGTGGTCAATCACATCCTGCAGATAAAGGATTTTTGGGGAGAGCAGAGCTGCTCCATGCCCTCACTGAGCCCTCTGCTCCAGCCCGAGGGCTGTGCCCTGCACCCAAGGGCAGCCCAGCCTGTGCTCTAATGAAAATCTGCTCCTCTAGCAAAAAGGTTCCTTGAAATCAGTTTGAATCAATCCTAGAAAAGCTCTAATTATAAGCAAAATTTAGCCTGACGGGACAAAAATAAAAAGTACTTTAATCGGGGCAGGATAGGAATTTACCTGCATTCATTGCCCAAGCTAGGGTGGGGAAGCAACTGCTGTAGAAGAACTCACAAAGAATTTATTTTTAACGTATTTTACTGCATTAAAATAAGTAGATTTATTTATAATATATATTTTATAAATATATAAAATATATATTATTAATAAATCTATTTATTTATTTGTCCACTTAATATTTTTCATTAAGCTGGGAGGCAAGGATGAGTTTCCACAGACGAGGATGAGTTTCCAGAGGCAAGGATGAGTTTCCACAGACAAGGATGAGTTTGCACAGGCAAGGATGAATTTCCACAGACAAGGATGAATTTCCACAGCCTGCTCTCCACATCCCTGCTCCTCTGACAAGCAGCCTGCAATGGCACTGGCAGATATTTCATGACAGTGACCCTCCATGGTAACCCCATGGCTCAAGGCTTCCATGGGGACATCATCCACCAGGTCTGGTCCTAATCACCACAGGGAGGGCTCTGAAGGGAGTGAGGATCCTGATGGAGAGAAGAAGGCAGCATGGACAGCTTCTGGACATAAAGTTTTCCTTCTCGTGGCTGTGCAATCCACAGGGACAGAGGTACAAGACTTGTCACTGGCTGTGCTAATGCCACGGAGATGTTCTACATGAATTGTAAGTTGTCTTCAACCTGAATCTTTGTTGCAGCTGCTGTCAACAGCACAAGTGAAGATCCCAAAATATAAAGCATTTTGAACTCTTTCTTTTCATTTCCTTTCCATTATACCGGGATGATACTGCCTTATCTCAAAGACACACTTGCATACTTGCACTCTATAATGGAGAAACAGCACTACATACAGGTCCCTAAAAGTAAACACCAAACTCTGTAAATGTTGCATATAATTAGGAAGATTCTTCTGGATTTATTATTTTTTTCCCCCAAAGCTGTTACTGCTTGATATGCCTGTCATCTGTGTCACTTCTAGGGAAAGATTTTCTATGTTAGAAAGGGAAAATCAGAGCAGCCAGCTAGTAACTTGTTACAACAGGGAGATTTAAGGTAGAAAAGAATGAGGCAGAGCTGCTGTCAGCACTGTGGTGGCTGTGCCTCCTCCTTAAGTGGAACAGGTCAGGATCAATCTTTGTTTTAGAGGGTCTCTTTTGGGAAGAACAGCACAAACCTCACACCTGATGGACACAAATGCCCTTCAGACTGCAAAGAAAAGAGCTGCTTCCTGTAAATATCCCCAGCCCAAGACCAACAAATCAAATTCAGTCGCAGCTTCATAATTCTGATCTAATTTCCTAGTATATTAATTTTGACGATTTGATTTCACTGATCTGTGGAGTCCATTTCAGTTGTGGCCTTTATTTGATTGCTTAATTGGCTTAGCAAAGCCTGGGTGCATCAGCTCTGCTACGGGCTCGCTTGGCTTTGTGTGTGCCTGATTTTTTCTTCTTGTAAGGCCTATAAAACATAAACAGAACTTTACATTAAATGGTGGTCCAGCCTGGAAACCCCAGGGCAGAGATAATCTCAGTTACAGGGAAAGCAGTCTCTAGATTGGTTTGACGTTACCTTGTTCTATTGTAAATCAAGGCGAAGGAGGAAGAAGGGTGACTCCATGGATAGCAGAAGGCTAATGAATTACTTTATTATACTATACTCTATACATTTCATCTAAACTGAATGTGCCCAAGCACTCACTGCTCACTCTGCACTGAGTCTCGTGACTGTCCTGACAGTCCTGACACACGCACACACACACACACACACACACACACACACACATACCCTGACAGGCCAAGGAACCAAAACACCATCACTTGGGATAAATAATCTCCACATTGCATTCTTTGGCACAACACAGGCACAGCAAGTGACAAGAATTGTGTTTTCCCTTTCCCTGAGGTTCAGAGGATGTGAATCTCAGGAATCCTTGGGAAGGATTGTGCCTTGCTGTTCTCTGTGAACAGAAATGTGGTGACACCGTTCAGCTCTGGCGCTGCTCGGACGCTGGCACGTGCCCTCCAGCACAGGTGCCCAGGTGAGAGCAGTGCCCAGGCCTGGCCAGGAGCTCTCAGGGGCTTTGCTGCTGGCAGAAGCAGGCTCAGGAGCAGCTGGTGGCAATCACAGGGACAGGGACACGTTCCCTGTGCTTCCCTGCCACCAGCCCACCTGAGCAAACCCAGCCCGGCTGCTGCTGAGGCAATGCGCTGCCATTCCTGGGTTTGCTTCATTTGCATTTAAACAATCAAGGGTTTTAATTAAAATGCATAAATGAATCATCCACGAGAAGCCCCATCTCCCGTGTTATTTATTTTTTATATTAAACCTTCAATTTGATGGATAAGTGCTGCCATTGGTCATTTCTGCTGAAATGATCCCATCAGCAGTGAAATATTTGACAAATCTGATGTTAAATTTTTCATCTCTAGCTTTCAGCACTTGTGGTCCATTGAGATAAATAGTACAGCTCACACTTTTGATCTATTCTTTGAAGCTCTCTGGGACCAGCTCTCTGTTAGAGAGGGAGAGGCACAGGTCAAGGGATGTTTGGAGATGCAAACAGTGCTCTGCTGATGGCTCTCAGACATGGCCCAGCACATCCACAGTGATGAGTGTCCTCTCCAGCTCTGACAACTCTCTTCTTTCTCTATAGAGACAGAATTTGGGGGTTTGCCTCTGATCTGTTGATAAAACAAAAAGTAATGTGGACTTTCTGCTAAGTGAAACCCATTTTCTTTATGCTTTTCCTTTTTTAATTATTATTTTTACCCTGTAACAGTGGTATCTGCAGTCATCACAGGAGATCCTCCTCCTACTGGAACACACTACTCTGCAGCATGGCACTGCACATTTAACTCCAAGGAATGTAATTTGTCCTAAGAACTGCATCCTACAGAGAATAAAGCAGAAAACACACTCTGCTGGTAGCTTCTCTCAGAGGATTACTGTAAAACTAAGCTAATAACAATGCAACATTCCTTCAAAAACTGAAATCTTGCTCACATGCTAAGAAGCTGTAAGAGTAACAGCATCATCTGGTGGCTCCTGCCACAAAGAATGGATTAATTGATTTTTTTTTTGTTCTACTTTCATTTAAATTCCTCATCTCTCAGGTGAGGCCAGGTCCTGAAGGAATATGTGAGAGGAGAAACAGACGGAAAATGATAAAAATGAGAGAAGGTAATAATGAAATCCTCAGCTATACTGGAACATTAAACTGCATCTGATATCTCAGATCTTTTTAAAAGGATTTTTTAAAGAACATTGAAAAACACCATCCTCATTGAAGTCAAGCTTCATTTACAGCAATGCCAGATGGGTTGGGATTTTGGAAGCATACATTAAGAGCAGGAACGATGCTGCTAAAGGCCTTGAACCTTAGATAAGGATTGGTGTAAACCTCCACAAAACCTTAAAGACAATTCCTTTTCATCATTTCTTTTGTAAGTGCCAGATCAAACCCTTCCAACTCCTCCTTCACCTTCCTTTTGGAGTTCTCACTGATCTCCTCAGCACTCAAGAGGTGGTGTGTAAAAATGAGATGAGCGTGCATTAGTTTGCACAAGGGTTTCAGTGTGCAGAAGGGTGTTATTTCGATTATGAGGGCAAAAAGCTCAATCTGTGGTTGGTGAGGCTGAACCAGCCTACCTGAGCTGTTGGACCTGCCCAGCCCAAGGGGCTGCAGCACCCCCAGAAATGCCCAAGGTCCCCCTAAGAAGTTCCCACCATCCAGATGAAGCACCAGGGCCACGCTGGCCCAGAGAACCCAAAGACTCCAGGATGAGTTGTTGCAGAAGCTGATTAACAAGGCAATAACATGAAAATTATTCCTTCTGGCTTTATTGGTGCGCAGTGTCTGTTTTACATTCATATAGTTTCTGTCCTATCCTTGGCAGTTGTCTTCTTTGTTGTATTCTTACAAAGAGAGAAATATCAAAACATTAATTTAAGCTGTCACAATGCAAAGGGCTGACAGTCATATAAAGAATTATCATTGTGGCAGAGAATGGAGACAAGTTAGTGAAGGAAAATTAAAGTGACTAGCTAAACAGAACCAAACTTCTTGAAAAATCCAGGATATTGCCATGACAATTCAAATAGCTCCAACTTTTTCTTTTTGTGTTTTTCAGCTCTTTCCTACACAGACTATTATCAATCTGATGGGGAAAAGAAAGAAAAAGAATTCACTTCATATGTACTCTAGTTTTAGTGAAATATGTATTTCAAAAGAGAAGATTCATCCTGTACCAGTTTGTGAATAAGATAAATTGCAACTAACATCAATCTTTGTAATTTTCCATAATTGTAGAAGTCAGACTGACCAAGATTACAGCCTGTCTAATCCTTCTTGCCAATGCATACAATATAGAAATGCTTCTTTGTCCTCTCCAGGTCTCTTATGGAAAACAAAAATGATTCCTTTTTACCAAACAATAAGGCTCCTGCAGGTGGTGGCTCGGGGTATCAAATTGCCAAAGAATAAATTTAATTAGTTTACAAATAAGAAGAGACTGGTTAAGAGAAGAAAATAACCACTTCAGCCTTGTGTTCTGCTGTTCATCTGTAGCTGTTGGGACATTTTACTCTGTCCTTAAACCAGCAGGAGCCTCGAGGTGCCTGTCCATGCCCACAGGCCAGACCCTGCACACTAACCTGCTTTCTCTGGGAAAGAAAATCAGTGGAATCTTTTCCATAGGACACCTTTCCAGCAGGGAGAACAACACTTACCCTGTGCTCGGGCCTCTCACCACAAGCTGCCCTCCTGATGAGAGGAGGATGCTAGGAATTAAATGAGAAGAGTTGGTGAAACATCCCAAATTCCACACAAATTCCACCCAATTGGTGAAACATCCCAAATTCCACCCAACTGGTGAAACACCCCAAATTCCACATAAATTCCACACAAATGGTGAAACATCCCAAATTCCACACGATTGGTGAAACATCCCAAATTCCACCCAACTGGTGAAATACCACAAATTCCACATAAATTCCACACAAATGGTGAAACATCCCAAATTCCACACAATTGGTGAAACACCCCAAATTGCACCCAGATGTCTGCTCCTTCCAGCAATGCTGTCTGCAGTGTGAATTGAGGCACTCAGCGGTGCAGTGGCCAGCGGATCCCATCACTAACGAAGCAGGAGCCCACAAGATTGCTTTGTACAGCCCAGATCCACAATTAATTCCCATACACAGAGGCAGCCACGGAGTTCTCTCAGCCAGCACATCAAAACCTGAGCGAAGCACCCCAGGCTGAGCAAATCCCCCTTCCCAAGGTGATGATGAGTGAGAGGCTTACACGGCTCATGCCAGCAGGACAGCGGCACGGGGCTCCCTGCAGATGTAAGGACATGAGATCCTCTGCCATGCCCATCATCCTTACCTGTCCCTGAGCTGTAATCCTGGAATTAGGCAGGCAGGCAGGTGGGAGATGCACAGCAGGCTCTGTGTGTGTGTGTTTGCAGCCAGAGCCAAGCCAAGGGGCCAGCACTGCCTGCCAGAGCAGCCTGGCCAGAGCTGCTGTGTGCCTCTGCACGCTGGAAACGCACCTGAAACACTGCAGAAAAAAAACAAAAATAAAAAAACAACAACAACAAAAAAACAAACAAAAAAACCCAGCCAAAAAAATCACAAAAAACCCCTCCAAACCCCCCAAAAAACAAAAAAAAAAAATCCCCAAACCAAAAACCAAAACCAACAACAAAAAAAACACAAAAAAAACCTCTCCACCCCTCCTCCCAAAAAACAACAAAAAAACCCAAAACAAAAAAACCACAAAAAAACCCCTCCAACCCCCCTCCCAAAAAACAAAAAAAAAAACCAAAACAAAAAAAACAACAACAAAAACCCCAAAAAAGCCTCCAACCCCCCAAAAAATGAAAAAAACCCAAAACCGAAAACCCCAAAAAACTCACAAAAAGACCTTCAACCCCCCCAAAAAAGCAAACCCCAAAACCAAAAAACTAAAAGAAAAAACCCAAAAAACCCCCCAAAAAAATCACAAAATCCCTCCAACCCCCCCCAAAAAAACCCAAAAAACCCCCAAAACAAAAACAAAACCAAAAAAAACCCCAAAAAGCCAAACCAAGCAAAAAAAAAATCAGAACAAAAAAAAAAAACCCAAAACAAAACCAGGGAAGGACTGCAATCACTATAATTCCCCAAATAAATCAGATGTACATTATGAGTTGGGAAAGCAGACAAGAAAACACTTAGAAACATAATAAATGTGAATAGCTGCAGTTACACCAAATGTAGCTCCATACCTCTAATTGTATCAATTATTTTTTACGATTGTGATCTCAAAGATGTTAAGTTTTCCTAAGAAGATGTATTTGCAAGTTACTTTGATTACTGTGAATAATGGGAATGTATTTAAAAGCTTCTGCATATTCACTCTGGCCCCCTGATCCCCCTTTGCAGCATCCTGAATCAGCTGGCAGAACACGAGGCACTTTAGACACTTCTGCTTGAAGCATTCAGACAATCCTGGAATTATTTGGGCTACTCAAATGCAGAGCCTTTGTCCAAGCTGTCTTTTCACTGATCCCAGGGTTCTTATGTCTGATTTTGCTTTTCACATTTTTCTCTCTCTTTCATTTTTAATCAGATATGTTTTACTGCGAGGAAGAATTTGACCATTTTCTATTGTATTCTGAGAAATAAGCCTACTACACCCAAGCGTTCAAGGTAATTTCATTTCTGCAATAGAAGGTATAATTGAAGAACCATATTTTCAATGTAAGATATTGTCTAAAACTAGGCCCTAGCATGAACCCTGGTCAACTACATACAATCCTCTTTAATATGGCTTTTGATAGCATTCATTTAACACTCTGGTGCAAAGCCTTCAAAGGGACATTGAATGAAATTAAGTTTCCAAAAGAACTGTAATAGTAACAGAAGTCTCTTTCTCTGAATTAATGGCAATCTTAAAATCTGCCCTGCTTTGAAACAGCACATTAATCCACAATGGAAATGTTTACATAGCATTTAAAACTAAAAACAGGATTAGCAAAAACCTTTGCAAGGACAAGATATATTCAGTTGGATTTTAGGAATGGAAGGAAATTTGGAGGGCTAAAATTAGACTGGGGGAATCCTATGCAAAATGTATTTGGCCTTGGTCTTCCAATAACCCATGTAGAGCCAGTCCAGCCCCCTTGAAGGGTGTGCTGCTTTCCCCCAGGAAAATACACAGAGATTCTGCATCCAGAAAGGAACAAGCAAAAAGCTTCTGCAGGGCAGAGAACCAAAGGCTGCCAGAGGAGAAGGGCCTTGACTGCCCCTCCATGGGGACCCTGGTCCCAGCTGGAGAGGAAATTCCTCCTGGAGACTTTGATGCCTTCAGTTTGAGCTTTCCCACATCCCAGCCTCTGCACTGGTTTGTAACTCTGAACCCCACACACAGTGCCAGCAGCTCTCCCTCAGCTCAGGCACACACAACAATCCTTGTCCAGCCCAGAACCAAGGACAGCACTGCAGCTTCAGCCCAAAAACTGCAAACAGGGAATGGAGGGAGCAACGTGGGAGGGTGGGACTGCACAGCCTGGAGCTGGAATTGGACAATGAACCCAAATAGGGAAATGTACCAGAACTTATAAAAGTGTGAAAACTCGAGGAGTCCATCCTGGGTGTAGCCCTCGCTGGGCTCTTGTACTCCCCAGGGTGCATCCTCTGAAGGCCTTTTAATAAATCTCTGCTTTATTCTTTCCCTCTGTCAGCCTCTGTTCCAGGGAGCCTCTTTAGGCATCACCTTCACCAGGTTCTTACTCCTCCTTCCCCTTCTCCTTTGGGCAGAGCAGAGCAGCAGCACCAGAGCTGCTCTCAGAGCTGGGCACTGCTGTGGCAGCCTGGAGGGGATGAGAGCCCCAGGAACGTGGGACAGAATCCTCCACAAACCACCTGGATGAAGGGTGTGCCTTGGGAAAGATCATCTGCCACAGACGTCTTTCATGGAAAATCCTTTCCTTAGGGTTTTTCGTCCTGAGAAGCTGAGACGCCTCAGGAACAAAATGCAAACAATGGTTATCTGCTGCTGTGGGATGCAACAGGTGCATCTGGGATTGGTCTCGTGTGGTTGTTTCTAATTAATGGCCAATCACAGTCAGCTGGCTCAGCCTCTCTGTCCGAGCCACAAACCTTTGTTATCATTCTTTTCTATTGTATTCTTAGCCAGCCTTGTGATGAAATCCTTTCTTCTATTCTTTTAGTATAGTTTTAATATAATATATATCATAATAAATCAAGCCTTCTGAAACATGGAGTCAGATCCTCGTCTCCTCCCTCATCCTCAGAGCCCTGTGAGCACGGTCACTCATCCTCACCCAGCACCAACCATTCCTGCCATGCTCCAGCCCCTTTTGGCTTTTGTCCTGCTCCTCCTTTCCCCTGCACACCTGCACACACAGCTCAGCCCCTGCACAGCCCCCCGGACCCTCTTTCCAAAAGAGGATTCAGAGTGAGATGAACAGGAATTGTTTTGGGAGCAAATAGCAAACCTCTGTGAAGCCTTGGAACCTGTTCTTGGCAGACGTTTTGATTGCTCCAGGGTGTCTATGCCCACATGTATGTACTTCTGCAGCAGGAAAGTGCAGCAAAAATGATTAAACACATGAGGAAAGAGGCTTCCATCTAAAAAGTGATTAAAAAGACTAGCATTGTTTAGTTTACAAAACACAAGAGTAAAAGATGATATAACAGAAGCAGAGAGAAGGGGCTATTTATTCTGCTTTCTCTGAAGCACAAATATGCATGGAAAGGTGAAGGGAAAATGCTGAAAACATTCGTGCAGTGTATAATCAACCCTGCAACTCATTGCTGCAGGATATTAGGCAAATTTTTCAGAAATACTTCTAAATGTGTTTGATGTGACAAATAACAAGCCTCAGCTCCCGAGGTGAAGGAAAAGCAAAAACAAACCATCTCCCCAAAGTGGAAGGACACTCAGTCCCTGTCCTTGTGCTGGAGATGGAATTCTTGTCTCCAGAGGGATGGCATTATTTATTTATCAAGTGCATGATAGGGAAGGGCTGGTTTCCTTCGAGCTGGAGGTTCTGTGGCAGGCAATTAAAAGGGTCAGCAAATGCAGCTGTGTGAAGCCATTGCTTCAGATTCCTCCCAAATACATCAGCTTGGGAATGCTGAAGTGGCTCAGGTTTAGTTATGGTTATTCTCCCAAAAGACTGTTAAAAACATCTAGGTAGCAGTCAAGGCTGAGAATGAAAATGGAATTAAATAGATTCATGTCTTTAGAAAATTCTTGTTTCTACACACTCACAAGAAACATTTTCTCAGTGGGTCCCTCCTGTTTTGGGTACACAAGGGAAACTGTTGTACCTCCAGTGTTACTCCAAGTTAGCAGTGAGTGGAATTGGAATTTCAGTGCCTGCGAGCAGCCAGGAGGGAGCTGTGGTGCTGCTGGGCTGGGAAGGTGCTGCCACAGACAGAATTAGTACCTGCTTAAAATGTACATGGAGAACAAACTGTCTTTTTTTTTTTTTAAAAAAAAAGAATTTTAAACGCTACTTCTGGCTTATGAATAGTTTCCTTGCAACTGTCAGGCCATCTGCTTGGAGAGGGGTCTGTGCAGTCATGAAAGGGATCTTAAAATATACTCTCCTCATAAACATCTTTTGTTTGGAAAATCCACAGCATCACATAATGCAGTAAATGGCAGCAGGGGCTGAAGGGAAGCATTTTTAAATGCCAGGGATGCAGCCCTGGATACAGCTGCCCCCTCCCCTGCGTTAATGAGCTCCTTAAATGCACCCCAGCCCCGTTTGCACAGCCCAGACTGGCAGCACCCACCTGCTGGGGAACAGGCACCAGAACTTCCTTGGGTACATCCAAAATACCAAACTGCCTGGTGGGCAGAGCAGAAACGGCTCCTGCAAGGCAGCTCTCAGAGATTACATCATTCTCACAGCCAATTTCTGCCTACACTGCACCATTTTCTGTGGGGGTGTGTGTGGGAAAAACCCCAGCATACGTTCTGTGTCCACACGCAGAAAGGGCAAATGAGGGGTGTGCAAGCACATCCAATCCCTGCATTTCCCAACTTCCATCAGCTCAGGCTTCAGAACTGCTTGCTACATGAATTTATACAATACATACATATGCACACAAACATTTATTTGGTCTGCATGCTTGGAATATGAAATTGTGTGTATGAGAACAGTGCTTTGCTTTCCTTACATTTTTTTTCTGTTTATTTTTCATCATTCTTTGGTCATTTTTTGTTTACTAACTTTTTGTTATTCTAATGTAAGTTCAAATATACAAAATGCTAATTTTCTTTTACATAAAAATGTAATAAAACTTTCTGGCTTTCTTTATAAACAAATTTCAGCAGGAAGGTTGATGGGATGCTGTATACCAAGTAAAGAAGAAATACTGTTTAATTATCTTCCATATAAAATCCAATAAAACGTTCTGGCTTTTCTTATTTTTCTGTACTGGGGATTAACATCAGTGTCTTTGTGATGAGAAATCTGCATTCATGGCTCCTCTATTTAGATTTAAATAGGAATTATCGTTCTTGGCAGAAAGGGATCTGTCAAATATCACAGCATTTGTGGCAGGTGGTCACTGCATTGCTCAGTACAGACACTGCCTGCTTAACCATAGCCTGAAGTAAACATCAAAAGTCAATTATTCTCTTTGTAAATATTTTATTTATATTTTGGAGGCTAACAAACATCTTTTCGGCGCTTGGCTGAGGCCTTGCTCCACGGATGATAATCCCCCTGAACCTGCACTGGGGTGGCTGGGAACGTGCTCAGCAGTGCAGGGGCAGCAGCAGTGAGTGCTGGGTTTCATAACCCAATTCTCTGCCTGGAAACCCTTAATGACTTGGCTGCCTTGGAGTGGCCAGAGCTGAAACTTGTCACGGCTGTTACCCAGAGCAGCTGCCAATTAGCACGACAACCATGGGTTATTTTGCCTTTCCTCTGTTAAAATGTATTTTGAATATAAATAATGAAAAAAAAAAAAGAAACCCGGCTCTAATTCCTTGGATTTAACACTGTGGGGTGGGAAAGGAGGAGCTCTGGTTTAATGGCCAGACAGGCGTGTGCAGTGGATGCACTCTGAGCAGCACATCCAGAACAGGAGCTGAGCTCCGAGGGTCAAATGCCTTGAAGAAATGTCTTGTTGCAGGGTGAACCTGCTAAAACAACCTGACAGCACCTGGCAAGTTCCTCATACATGGCAGAGTCCCTCCCAAACCAGCGTGGTGTGGAAAACGTCTGAAGATGCTGCTGCACGTTTTAGATCCCTGTCTGAACTCTGCCTGAACTCTTTGGGCCATTAACTAATCAGATCATCTCATTTAAACAATGTTATAAAAATAATCAAGTACTTCTGCCTACATAAATACAGTTGGGATATATTTACCCAAAAGAAACAGGGTTTTCTTGGGCACTTACTCCTGGCATTTGGGGAACAGAAGGAGCACAAAATGTTGGGGAGGAGCAGAATTCTCTGAGATGGGGCTGTGGGTAATTTTCCCTGCAAGCCTGTTTGGTGGCAAGTTAATTGAGTCCCACATTACCCAAACTGCAATGTACTAAAGCACTGGGTGCTCGTTTCCCTGCACTATTTGCCTGGCAAAGGCCATCTGTTCTACCCCATCCCTGCACAGGCACTGCCTCTATTGTTGAAGCAGGATTCACACACACGTGGATCAAGGCAAGCATGTGCCTCTCCCTGTTTTGATCCCTAGAACATGGATTTTTCATTTTCTTTGTTTCTTTGTGCTCACCCAGTAATAATACTTGTCATCTGAGAATTCATATTGATCTTGTCATTGCCTTAAAATTGGATGACAATTACTATCTTTGTCAAAATTCGATCTGATGAAATGGCTCCAATTAGGAAGGAAAAAGAAGGAATCCATCACAGCAGGGAACATTGCATTTGGCTTTGGAGCAAGGAAGCTTCTCTTAAAGGAAAACTGAGGGGAAAATGGGAACAAGCATGACAGAGACAAGGATGCCAGTCTGAAAACCCACAGAAATTAGGTATACATAAGAAATGAACAGCCATTTCATTTTTGCAGTCCTTATCTGTCTGCAAATCTGAGTTGAAGCTCCCCTGGCAATAAATGCCAGTAACTGTTGTTTTCCTTTTGTGATCTGGTCAGACACACAGTGGCAGTTGGCACCAGGCTTCCTGCATTTCCAAATCCAGTTCTGATTACCAGCATAATTATAATACATTATCAGGGGTAGATTTGCTGAAGTTCATAAAATGATAAAGCATAAATTACATCATGTTTCCAGACACTGATCTCACCTTGAAACTAAACATAAAGAGGTAGTGAAAGAGTTGAAAACAAAAGAAAACTTTCATTGTTACTGATATTGGCACTAAAGCAAACAACTTATCCCTGCTAATTGCAAACAAAATTGTACTAATTACAGACTTTTTGTTTATAAGTCATCCCTAAAAATTAGTGTGTGCATCTGTGTGTGTGTATAGGGGTGGGGCAATCTTTTTCCAAAACAAAGAAGTTTGTTTCATATTGAGCTGATGTTTTATTTGACCAAAAAAGCCCTGCCAGGGTTTTGTTTCTGAGCAGGACTCAAGGGTCAGGTTCACCTGTAATTCTGGCCTGGCCTCACCTGGGAGCTGGAGATGGTGCTGGTGTTTGGCTCTATCTGAAGGACTGGAAGCTTCCACTTAACCCAAAAATATCTCAGCTCCAGGCCATTCTTGCATGGGTTTCACTGAATCAGGCCAGTAAATATTCACAAACAGTCATGGGCTTGGATCTGCACAGTCACACCAGCTCCTGCACAGGGGCTGCACAGTTTTGCTCCCTGGAAAATCACATCTCCTTACCTGCATGGAGCAGCTCCTGGAGGCACTGAGGGGAGCCGGGAGGGACCCCAGGCTGCGCAGGTGCTGCCTTCCCAAGGGGAGCGGTGGCACTGGAGTGATGCAGGGATGAGTCACACAGCTCAGCAGCTCTGGGAGGGAAGGTGGGCGAGCTGGGCTCCTCTGCAAGCTGGGCAGGCAGAATTT